GGAAAGTGAGGTTGGTTTCTACCAATTAATCCCCTTTTTAATTTCAGTCATTCAAACAAGTTAATTAAGATCAGAGGTTGCCTATTTCTCTCCTTGAATTAAGCCTAAATGTTAATTAAGGCCAAATTCCTAAAATTCTATCACTTCATTATTTGTCAAATTTAATTCATATGACTTTGGAGTTTTTATCCTACCTTATTCATGGGACAATTAAGACATCAGAGGAGAAAATGTGAACTTTCAAATTTTAATTTAATTTACATATTTATTTTTATACAAAAATAGAATTTTTCAAGGAAAAATCCATAACTTGACTAAGGCAAAACCTAATCCCTTGAAATTCTTACTGGAGGTATACTTAGACGAGAGAATTATTGGGATCAAATTTTATGATTTATTGAGTTTTAATTGAATTTTAAGAATTATTTTAAATTCTGGAGTGTTTATTAATTATAAAATATTTTGAATGTGAAAAATTAAGTTTATATTTTTATTAAATCTCTTTGATTGCAAGGGACATAGAGAAACAAATTTCACAATTTTCTAATTTTTTTTTGAATTATTGGAATTATTTTAATGAAAATCCATTTGTAGTCTTTAAAAATTATTTCTTTAGCCTTTAAAAATTATTTTAAAGCTTTAAAATTCAATATCTTTATTTGTTCAATATTTATTTAGAAAATCAGGAAAAATATCTAAATTATTTCTAAGTGCTTAGGAAGCAGTTTAGAACAATTTCATGAATTTTATTATTTTTGTGATTTTTATGGATTTTTAATTATTTAAATATTTAAAAATAAGCTAAAAATTAGGTTTTTATTTTAAATACCATTTTATTTTTTATAAAATTCCCTTGATCACATAGAACTCAAAAAATAAGTTTTTATAAATTTTTGAGTTATATTTTGATTTTTTAAAATCATTTAAGTGCTAAAATGATATTTATCTTTAAAAATCAACTTAAGTTACCAAATGAACTCAAAATGCTTTGAAATTTTTATGAAGAGTTCCTTGGATTTTAAATAATATTAGAAATAAAAAATCAAGTCATTTTGATGTTTGTGCTTTCCAAAATTAATTACCTTAGTGTTTTAGGGTTTATAAAGATTATGTTCATTTTAAATGAATTAATGTTCATTTTAAATGATCATTTTAAATGAATTAATTGATGAGAATTTTTCTTAAGGGTTCTCTAGTCATATTAAACCTACGAAAATTTTCTTGAATTTTTCTAAGCAACTTACTGATTATTATGATTAATTTATGTAAATAATATATATAAACTTGAAAAATATGGATCTCTATCTAGAGGTCTTCTCTGACTTAAAAAAAATTAGGGAGTGTTCCCCTTGATAGATGATACAACATGCTAAAATTTCAAGCCATAGTGATATTACTACATGCATGGAGAATCAAAAAATTCAAATCTGTGTTTAATTAATAAAAAATAAAATATGCATCAAATGGAATCCAAATTATTTCCACATTGTTCTCCTCAATTTACTGAGCAAGAGGATATTTTTATTTTATTTTTATGATTTTTCTACATCAAGATATGAATTTTTAAAGCTAGGGTTATTTATTTAAATAAGAAAATCCCTATTTTTTTATTTAAACGCGCGATGCTGACTGGATCCTAAGCAGCTCCGAAGGCACGCGTGGCCCGCTCTGGTTGGACGTCGTCATCCACGTAGCCGCTGACTCGGCCCGCGGTTCATGTAAGGAAGTGATGTCCGGCTCGATCTCCTCCGTCCATCCGATACACGCGCGATCGGACGACTCCCCATCATCATCCCCGATAGAGTGATCCCGTGACCGTCTACACTAAAACCCTAAGATCTTAGCCTAGATTCAGCCAAATCACTTCGGGTTTGATCCTATGGACTCGTCTAAGTGAGACGAACATATCCATATAATAATTATGCAATTAAATTATGTCTAATCAAATAGAGAATCAAAATAGGCTCGGGAGGAGGAGAAGTTCAATACCATGCCTCTGAGAAGTGAAGCTTGGATCATAGGTGCTTGGCACGTTCATTGGGGTCCAAGGAAGCTAGGGATTAAGCCTCTGGCTATGGTGCGAAGCCTAGGTAGGAATTCAACCAAGCCCGATTTCATGTGTTGGTCTAGAGCTATGCTAGGGCTCTGTGGAAGGGGAATTTGATGGGGATTTTCCTTCTTTCACTATGGTGAAGGTGTGGGTGAGTTTAATTTGATTTTTGTGGAGTGTAGGAGTGTAATGAGCTCTGTTCTGATTTTAGGCAGAGATTCAAGCTCAAAATTGGGCTCCGACAAGGGGATTCAGGGCAATGTGGTAGTTGGATTGCACTGAGGAGATCTCAAAGAGGCTTTGGGATCAATTTGGGGAAGTCTTTCAGAGGAAATTTCAGCACTACCTCCATAGTCGTGGAGGGGGGGTTTTATAAAAAATGGTTTAAGGCTTGCTGCCATGGCCAATTGGGGGGGTGAAATGTGTTGCCTAGGTGGAGGGCAGAGAGGCTCCAACATTTAATTTGGATGAGGTGGCCTCTAGGTTTGAATTGGGTTTAATCCCATGGGGGTGGCTCTTGGTTTGGCCATTTTCCGTCCACTAGGCCGGTCGGCCAGCCAAGGGGAGTTGGCCAGGAGCTCTGGGAACCCGGGGGAATATGTCACGACAATTTAATGTGTTTAGGCTTTGTCTTAGTAAAATAATCCTAAGCTTAAGCAAATATGGAATGAAATCCCTTAATTTAGAGGACCTTTGGTCCATGGCTTAGTTTAGGAGGTTTTAAGAGGTCTAGGCTGGCCACTAGGGTCCAACTAATGGCTGGGGGGGCATTAGTTTTGTGGCTTTGGGGGAGGTAGTTTTGGGGTAGTTAGTCATCTTTAGTGCATGGGTTCAATGTGCGTTCAAGTGATCGAAGCTTGGGCTTGGGCTAGGCTATCCATGTAAATTGTCCTAATTGATTGATCAACATTGTGTAGATGATTGTTATGAAGATTTTTGGTGAAGGGTTGAAGTGATTTTGAGTTCAATTGGTGGGTCAATTTGAAGGATTTTTGAAATTTGGTCAATTTGGGCATGTTGGGTTAGACATGGGTCTAG